AAGTGAAATAACTTGCTTTTTCTTTCTTTTTCTTTATGTGGGATTGTAAAATAAAAATTAACAATTATTTGGGCAATAAATTTATTTCTAAACAAACAATCTTAACCTTTGAATATTTAGTTAGGTCAATCTTTAGTTTATTCCGAATCAAACAAATCTAACTAATATATTTTGTTAAAACCGCTAAAATTACGATTAAACCAGCAAATCATTCAAACCAAAAATGATTTAACTTAATCAATTAGGTCAAAAGACCAACCATCTTACACAAAAATGAATTACTTAAAACTTTTAAATTTTATTTTCTTAAAATTTAAAAGCAATCTATTAATTTAAATTTAAAATTGGCATAATATAAATTTAAAATTATAATAATCTATCCCATAATTTATAAGTTTTAAATACAAATTTAAAATTATCATATTAATCTTATAATTTTTGTATTAAGGAGCAGTAAGACTGACGTTGAGATTATCAATATATTTGTATATTTTACAAAAGAATACTTTTAAGGAGAGATATTATGAGAGTTTCAAAACCTCATATAAAATTATTTTTTTAATCAAAACTTCTATGTGAGATTATAAAATAAAACTTAAATGAAAACTAGCTAAAGTGAATTTTCTTAATTGTTTAAAATTAAAAAAATCAAAAAAAATAGTATGAGATATTGATCATAAGGTTTCTAACTAAAAATCTTGTTTTATTATAAATGAAAGTATAAGATTCATTTTATATAAGTGAAACAATTTACTTTTTTTTTCTTTTTTTCCCGATGTGAGATTGTAAAATAAAAGCTAAATGGAAGCTAGTCAATAGAAATTTTCTTAATTGTTTAAAATTAAAAAAATTTAATAATTTTAGAATGAGGATTTGGAGATCTTAGAAGGCTTATTGTCACGACCCAACCCTAGCGCTTAAAGTTGGAATCATGACTTAGTAACTTTCTTAATCGAAGCAAATTAAGTTGCGCAAGCGAAAATAAAAAAAATTAAATAGAAATTTTACTACATTTTACTAAAAAAAAAAAGAAATATATTTATAGGGCTTTCATTATTTTCTTATTCAGTGACCAGCCCCGAATAGAAACAAAAGGAAGCAAAAATATAAAAAAAAAAAGAAAGATAAAATAATGGTTCAACAACAGTCCATGAGCAGGTTCCATTTTGTAGGGTTATGGATTTCCCTTACATCTCATCACCTGAAAGGGTAACAGCTGTAAGCACACAGCAGAGTGAGAAATATTATGCCAAAAGGTAGGGAATAAAATAACCATGGATAATGAGCAGGCTAAAATATTTGCTTAATTTAATTTAAAATGACAATTTATTTAAAGTGGCAGAATACAGAAATCATGTAAGGTAATAATCATAACCATGGTATAAAACGAAACAGAGCAGAGGTCACAAAGTGACAGTCAGAACAGAGGTCAATGGATCCACGACAACAGAGGACCACAAAGTGGTCAAACAGAGGCCAGTGGTTATTTAAGTCTCCCAAGGCGTAGGACTCCCGTGGTGATATTTACAAAGCATAATTGTTTATAAGGTTATAGTCAAATATATTCTAAAATTTAAACAAACATATTCATGGGTTTCCTTTTAAGTAAATAGAGTTTAGAAAGTAACCTACTGAACTAAAATATTTATAAAACATAACTTTTATTTATATAACTTCAAATATAGCTTGTATAAAATAAGTTTTGGTAACTCAAAACATTCATAAACACATATAATTGGTAGATCAAGGTATAATATAACTCACCTTAATTATAACCCTTAGCCTTACTTTACTACCAGAACTTCCCTGCTATCAACTCTTCACTCTCACTTACGTATCTCTCTCTCTCGGCTTCTACTGAGCGCCACATACCCCCCTCTCAGGAGGCATAATGAGGCTAGGGGGGTGGAGTTCTTAATGGCAGATTTGAGATAAGATTTTCATTTGTTAGAGATAAACATAAATCTTCCCACTTGGGCTTAACACACTTGGCCACTTTTTTTTCTTTTCTTTTCTTTTCTTTTTTTTTTCTTTTTTTTTTTTTTTGCTTGGGCCAAATTCTAAAAACCATTGCTGGGCCAAACTAACTTAGACTTTTATTATTTATTTTTGTTTTTCTTTTTCTTTTGGGCCGAAGCTTGCAACTCTCGCTGGGCAACTAGCTTATTTTATTTTATTTTTTATTCATTTATTTTGGTGTTAAATTATTATTTATTTTAGTTTGACCCAATTAATATTATAATTCCATAAATGTGTTATTTTGTAAATAATAATTCTCAATTAGTCCTATAATCCAATGCTAAATTAAATTTTTATATATTTATTTAATTAATAGTCTATCATTACATGCCACTATAATTATGTATAACTCTAAATATTTATGTGTACTTAATTAAACGCTCGGGGTGCCACACTTATCCCTAAAAATCCATTTTTCCTCATATAATATATAAATATTAATAAGAATTTATATTTGTTTTAGATATTTTTTAATATATAAATTATTATTTTTTTTATATTTTAATGAAATGCATAGTATAATTTTTTTTTCTCTCTTTTTTTTTATATCAATTGTAACCTGTTATTTTTTAATAAAAATTTATATTTGTTTTAGATTTTTTTAATATACAAATTATTTTTTACAGTGTAATTTTTATTTTTTTCTCTTTTTTTTATTTTTATTTTTTGCAATTTCAACCTGTTATTTTTTTTAAAAAAAAATTATATGTGTTTTAGATATTTTTTAATACACAAATTTTTTTTATAGATTTTTTGTAAAAATAATTTAACAATCCCTTCATTAACCATAGTGTATAAGAGAAGTTGAAAAGGGTATGGTAGTAAGTAAGAGAGAAGTAAAAAAGACTTATAAATTGGGATAAGTCAATAAATGCTAAGGTTTTTTTTAAAATAAAAAAATTAGAAAATTAAGATTGGGATATTTGTAGGGCTGTTCAAAAATCTGTTCAAACCGGTAATCCGGACCGAACCAAACCGAATCATACGGTTTGGTTCGGTTCTATTAAGAATTGGTTCGGTTTCAGATTAAGAAATATGAGAACCGTAAAAACGGTTCGGTTAATGGATTTTATGAAAAAACTGCGGTTCGAACCGAACCGAACCGAATGTTAAAAGATATATATATATATAAAATATCAAGTTTTATTTTTACTAATTGGTTTTTTATAATTTTAATGATATTAGTATGGTATAGATATGTAATATTAAGTAATACCTTAATATTATTAGTTTTTATCACGAGTTAAATGTAATTAGTTTGAGTAATTATTTTGCTAATATTAACAATTTATTCTTGTAAGCTCCCACAAGACTTGCGGGTTAGAAACCCTATTTTCCTTATATAATATATAGATAAAAAGATAGTTATAGATATAGATATTTATATTTGTTTTAGATATTTTTTTAATATACAAATTATTATTATATTTTTTTAGATTTTTTATAAAAATAATTTAATAATTTCATCACTAACCATAGTATATGGGAGAAGTTGAAGAAGGTACTGCAGTAACTATGAAAGAAATCAAAAAGACTCGTGGGTAGGGAAAAGTCAATGAATGCTAAAGTTAATTTTTTTTTAAATCAAAAAATTAAAAAATTAAAATTTGATATTAAAACTTCTATAAAACTTGTGGGTTTGAAACTCTTTTATATATATATATATATATATAATATAGATGTATTGTTGTGCTTATATTTTGATGTATTGTTTTATCGACTAGGACAACTTTGTATGATTGTTTGTCGAGCCTGAAAGTCGTATTTGGGCATATAAAAACAACGATGATGTATAAATCCATTTGAAACTCTGAGCTTTCATATTAGAAAACTTAGAATTGATTCTCAAAATAAAAACAGAGAAATTTATCTACTTGAAAAGAATGAAATTTCTCTGTTTTAGAAAACAAATTAATTTCCTAATGTTTCATTTTTGTAGCCCTCAATTTACATTTTTTGGCCCTAAATTTGAAATTAGGTACTCAATTTTTGTAATTGGTCATTAATTTTTAAGTTTTAGTCATTAATTGTAAATTTAACTGTTTTTAAAGCAATGAAATTTTACTACGCAAACAGTGAAACCAAGAAAGGAAAATGTCATTGTTTCTATAAGAGTGAACACAATGAAATTTTGTCATTTTTTTCTCCAAAATTTCATATTCATCATTGAAGTATAAGACCATTATTTATTGTTTGGCAGGGGAATTTATGTGATATTTGTTTTTTTCTTTTTAAGTAAATATAAAATTGATAAATTGTACTTGAGATCAACTATTCCACAAAAAATAGTTAGAAATTGAAAAGAATATGCTAGCAAAACTTTAATATAACAATTTAATTAGTTAATTTTCATCTAAACAAAAAAAATCTTACTTAAAATTGTTGTTTTTAAGTTTTAAATTGTCTCCCACCAGAACTAAGAGAAGAAAGATGATTTGTACTTTCTTTTTTCTTTTTTTCTTTTTTAATGTAGTAAAATTTGTCTCTCGCGCAAACGAAAAGTGCACAAATTTTTAAAAAATCTTGTAAATTTTCTATGCTTCCCAACATAATGATGCCAAACATTTCAATCGAAAGCTCTCATGCACTCCATTAAATTATATAAATTATTACAAATAAAAAGAAAAAAAAATCAGATCCAAAGCATACAGGAATACTACAAATGAAAATCATACCATGGCTGAACCGTTGCTCCTGTTTGTCAACTACCCTTAAAAGAAGGTAAGCCCAGTTGTCTTTACCAAAGATAAAAGCAGTAGCAGTACAACAATTTTTATTTATGTCAATGGTTGTTTTAGGAAATCCAAAACAGACTTTTCAAATACAATATAATATCTATATATGCACCTAAAAAAAAGTATCCCAAAATAAATGACAAAGACTAAATTAAATTTAAGGATATTTCACACCACATCAAAATCTAGCCTGGATGTTATTTTCCAAAATACTTTTTTATAGGTGCATAGTTGTTCCAATCTATATAAAATAAAAATAATAATTGTCACACATGTTTATATGTGGTCCTTGTACTAAAAATGAAATAAAAATTAACCAGAGGAGGTGCTATTATTGAACACAGCACACTGATGCATTGGCCTGGAAAGCTGGCCACCAGCGGTGGTGGGGCACGCCACGAGCCCCACCGGTGGTACCATACAGTTATAAGATAGGCATACAGACACCGAATCGGGTAATGCCGTTCCGGCCATCATCGGAAATTTCGTGATGTAATTATGCTGTAAGTAGAGTGTTTTGGTGCTTCTGTTGAGCACACTCTCTACGTACTCCACAGGGACTGTCCCAATCAGACGGTTGTTATTCAAAAACAGACTCTCTACTCCTGCCAAAGCTCCCGATAGTTCCCCGTCCAAGGAGTTATGGCTCAAGTCCACGATCGATCCCTGACCGTACGATGACGATGATGATGATATTGGAACTGTGTGTGGGACCACTCCAGATAAATTGTTCCGTTGTAATAGCATTGAAGAGAGGGTGGGTCGGAAGAGTGAAATGGGGATGGTCCCACTGAAGTGATTCATGCTTAAGTCGAGGTACACTAACTCTGAGAGTGATTGTAGGCCGTTGTTGAGTGGGCCCCACATCTCGTTACCGGAAACCGACAAGTACCGGAGGGACAACGGCAGCTGTTTCGGCAGCAAACCCGAGAACATGTTGTTTTTCAAATCCAAGTGGAGGAGCTCAGCCGGTAACAACTTCGGTATATTCCCGGAAAGCCGGTTCGAGGCCAGAATAAGGACTTTTAACTGAGTTAACCCGGATAGATCCAGCGGTACGGAACCGGTGAGCTGGTTGTAGCTGAGATCGAGAGTGTGGAGGTTCGGGAGGGCTGAAATGGAGGCTGGGATGGGTCCGGTGAGGCGGTTGTTGGTTAGGGAGATGACTCGGAGGTTTTTGAGGGTTCCGAGTTGGGGAGGGATTGGACCGGTGACAATGCCGGAGAAGAGGATGAGTTGAGTTAACTCGGTGAGGTTGGAGAGGGATGGGGAGAGTGAACCGGCGAGTCCCGGTGAGTCGGAGAGGCCGGTGCCGAGAGTGAGAGAGGTGACTCTTTTGAGGTTATTAACGGTGGAACAGGTGATTCCGGTGAAGGTTGAGCAAGGATCTGGTAGGGTGAAGTCCCAGGTGGAGAAGAAATCAGTACCGCGTAATTCCGTCAGGCTGTTCTTGATTTCGTGTAATGCGGAAAGATCGACGGTGCTGATCTGTTGTTGTGGGTTTGCACGACCCAGGAGTAGGAGTAGGAGATCGAGTAACAGGAGGAGGAGAGAGTGAGGTCTGACCATTCTGTGAGAGAGAGAGAGAGAGATTTGAGTTTGAAAAAACAGGGGTCTAAGTGTTAATAAGGAATATTCAATAAAAGTGATAGTGAGTGAGGTTGGTTTTAGTTCACAGATTCATAGGTGCCTAAGTAGTTGCGTGGACATGAGTGATAGAGACAACAAAGAAACAGGGATAGGCGTGAGGGACGAAGAAACGAGTGGTCGCTTAATTACTCAGATATGTGAAGTAGGAGGGAACACTGGGTAATGAAGAGGTCGCGGATGGAGATTGGAGAGGAGAGGCGTCATGTGTAATTAAGAAGTTATTCATTTCGTCACGAAGAGATTCACGCCATCCATTGGTGGGTCCCATCAATTGGTGTGGTGCGTCCTCTTCAAGTATTGTCACAAGTTTAATTAGTTATTTTCAATATTTTAATTATATTAATTTTATTCCTAATATAGGAAAATTATATATAAATTCATTTTTATACTTATTTTTTAAATTTAATAATATGTAAGTGAGATAATTTATTGATATTTAGAGACGATTTGAGAGAGTATGTTACCTTAGATATTCTAATGTAATGTTACATTATTGGATTTAAAAAATAAATCTAGTTTTTTTTTTGTATAAGTAGCATCACGTTACAAAAAATAGGATTTAAATTCTTTCAAGTTGATCATCTCAATTTAAGAGAGCGCTTAGACTTTATAAACGCATTTTAGGACTGACTTTAGTGATCCATACCTTTCACTTTTTAAGACTCATTAAATAAAATATTCATACAAAAAAAATTAAGATAATAACTATATGTTAATCATATTCGTATTATAAAAAATGAATCCCTATTCTTGAAATTATATTTAAAAACAAATATGATTTAAACATATAGATACCGATGTCAAATATTTTTATTTTTTATATGAATATTTTACTTAATGAATCTTAAAAAATAAATAATTCGAATTATCGAAATTGGTTAAAAAATAAACTTAACAAATCAAAATGCTCTCAACTTAAGAGAAGTCAACCCCCAAAATATTTTGGAATGTTTTAGGAAGATAGTTAAAAGTTGACTTTTTAATTTTTTTTGATTTGTTTTTAAAAAGTACGTAAAAAATATCAGAAAATGATATGACCTCAAATGAGCTAAAAAGTTGAGAAGTGATTTTTAGTCCTCCATGGATAGATGTCGTTAAATCTAAAATAAATGTAAAAATGCAATTAAAAGGGGTGACAATGTTAATTTACAGGAATGTGGGTGTCAACGTAATTTATTAAAAATATAAAACAAAACTAACCCTTTTTTTTTGTTTTTTTGAAGTGCACAACTTGATTAAAAATTCATCCGTCAATATTTCAGCACCTACCAAATAATTTTTAAATTAAAAAATTCCGTTTATTTTTATTTTTATTTTATCATTTGCATTACTTAAAAATAATTTGAACTTATCATTTTATAATTCAAAATAAATTTAGCCTTCGTTTGTCATAAGTTAAAATAGAGTTTTTTTTGCTAAAATAGTCACAAAAAGATAAAATAAATTTTTTAACCTAATAAGACAAAATGTCATTTCCAAACTATAATCATTTTATTTTTTCTCTTACAAAAGTCAAAAAATCTATCTTAAACGAGACTTTTTAGTCCTATACTAAAATAGTCTAAAAACCAAAAAGCGAAAAATTCAACCCACATTCCAAAAAGACTTTGTATAGGGTTATAATTTTAGAGAAAGATCAGGGAGGAGAGTCTGACACAAGGACACGCCAGAAAAACGTACGGGACACGCCATCTGCCGTGTCCTTTTAATTTAATTTAATTTTTTTTTTTGTAGGAGACACACCCGGGACACGCGTGTTCAAATCTGGACACGATATGAGACATAACGAGGAGAGAGACAAAAGAGAGAGAGTGTGGCAGAAGAGAGTGAAGAGACAAACCTGTCGCGCAATCGAAGACATTCAGTTGATTGATCGAACATCCAGTTGCTGTATCGACATCCAATTGTCAACGATCTGTTTCCCTTCGACTTCATGACTTCCACCGTAAGCATCTCTCTCTCTCTCTCTCTCTCTCTCACGCCTTCTCTCCCGCTCGCGTCATCTTCTCTCTCTCTTGCTCGCGTCTCTGTCTCTCTCGCCGACTCTATCCCTCTTGCCTTCTTTCTTATCTTACATATATATAAGATAATATTAATAAGATAATATTATTTTATAAGTATATATAACATATTATATACTATGAAAAATGTTTTGGAGCACTAATTTTTAAGCTCTAACGCCAACTCTAATGAGTTGGCAGTAGGTCCCACCCACTGTGATGTGATATTTTCGTCTTGATTTGTTTTTTAATATTTTTTTTCTCCTTGCCATGTCATTAGTACTCTATTAGAGCATCAAAATTAGTGATATGAATCATTATATTTATACATATTAATAAAAAAACACATATATATAAAATAAAATAAAAAATTATCAAAAACACATTATTTAAAAACTATAATAAATAAATAAAATATTAACGTATATTAAAATAAAAATATTTATAAATCAAAAAAAAATTTCTCATGTTCCCTGCAGTGTCTGTGTCCACATTTTTTGAAAATTGTTGTGTCCCGTGTTCGTATCCCTGTCTGTGTCCGTGCTTCATAGCCAGAAACAAATTAACGTGAATAGATGGGCATGCAATTCCAATGGACAGATGGGTTTTGGATGACACAAAGAAGAGGAGAAGAGCATTGTACGGGGGTGAAATATCTATTTGCTTTCCGTACTCCCAGAACTCAAGCTTCACGTAACGACGTCTGACCTGGAAACAGAGAAACGGTGAGCTGCCCGACGGTGTATTGCCGGATAGACCATCCGACGATCAAGTCAGATCACTTGAGGAAGAAGAATTCTATTTTAGAGAGAGAGAGTCGTTCAGACAGCATACCTCCAACGTTCCCCTTCCTTCCTTTTTCTAGGCCGGCCATGCAGCCTCAGGGATTATGCGCGCACTACTTCTGCTGTCCTTCCCTGGACAGGTGGCAGTGCTCGCCTCTCACCACCATACGCATGTAAAGGCCAAAACCTTCAAACAATATATGCAGAATTGCCAAGTGGTATTGATACGTGCTTGGAGCGGGTTTCCTCTCCACCACATTATTGGTCCAGGTGGCACACTCAACCGGGATATCATGACCAACCTATCCTTTGAAGAAACAAAACTACGGTCAATACGGCCGAGCTGTAAGAAGTCGGTTCTTCCGGATTGACTGGCCGTGAGGCGCACCGGCCTTCGCCCCAGTCTAAATTCATTCCGGGCTATGCTTGGTACAGTTCCGATCAGGAATACGAATGCCTAGCCAAACGCCTAACCGAATCACAGCTTGATCGGGAGCACGCATGACCCCATGCTCTGGTCGACTGATCTAGCTCGGCCCAGTGCGACGGCCCGTGAAGCCGCTCTAACCGAGCAAACGATGTGACTCGACCACCCGCTATAGCCCGTGTTACCGTAGCTCAGCCGTACTTGTCCGACGCAAATCTCCCTCTCAATTGCCCCTTAATCCCATCTGAACTAAGCGTGATTGGGATTACCGCCATGACCGAGCTATCCTATTTGGTCGGTTTTCTGAATTGCGCCAGTAGTCTTGTCACTGGTCGTACAGCTGTACTGACAGAACCATCTCTTCGCTATCACGTGGCTTCGCCCCATTGGCTCTGTGCTGCCCCACAGCTGTCTCCCTCAAGCGCAAAATTCAAACGGCTGCCGCCATTTGGGTTTCTCACCCTTTTTATACACACACGAGGGGTCATTCGTGCCCCCACTGTTCATCTTCGTTTTCGAGCCCAAAACCCTAGCTCTCAAAACCTCCATCGCCATTCCTCAGGCTATTTTCGACTACCTTCGATCTTTCAGAAACAGCAGGCGAGCTCGAAGTGTGCTGATCTTGCCCAGGCATCCATCATCTGTAAGTTTCCCTGCCCCTCTTTGCGTTTTGCTCTCATTGTTCTTCATGTTCTTCATTCTTGTTTTTCACATTTTTGCCTGGCACTGTTGGAATCCTATCAGTGCCCCCTCTTAGGGGAAATATTGGTACACCCTAGGAAAAACTAGAATAGGAGAAGCAGATGGGGCTCCTATGCCCCTTGCTTCCCCAAGTTTTAAAGCACTAACTCTGTATTCGAGATGAACAGCCTGAAATCTGGGTAAGACCGAGCTAAAAATAATAATTTAGATCCATAGTTAGAACTTCAGCCGAGCAAAAACTAGTTTGTGGCGTCTCGTTGAGGCCGCGACCGTGCTGGACATAGGGAATCAAAACCGAACTAGGAAGGCCAAATCGGCCAGATAGTCGAGCCGAGATAGGGGTCGGGCCAGTCAAACGCCCCAAAAACCTTTTACCGAGCTAAGAACTCCACATAGAAGCCGTGAAATTTATGTCGCGCTAACCCTTGGAATGATTTCTTAACAATGCAGAACAAACTAGGACCGACTAGGCCCGTTCAGCATTACTTCCAGTGAGGCTCAAAGTTCGAGCAAACACACAAAATTTTTCACCGAGTTACGACCTAAGTCACTTCAATAAATAAAACCGGGATAGATGGGCAAGTAACGGTTCATGGTGAGTTCTCCCGGGGCCCTTGCTGAGTTCCGTAGAGAGTACAACATTCCAGACGATGTCCATCTGGAGCTCGCCAAGAAAGAAGGCACCCCATGGGGCGAGCTAGACAAGTGTCCCTTCACGATCATGTCCACAGTGGAAGGAGGACTACGCTTCCCAGTCTAACCCCTGATCTATGAGTTTTTAAGGCAGACTAGGCTTTGCCCGACCCAGGTTTCCAACAATACATACAAAATAATAAATGGTGTGGCCGAGCTAAATAGATTACTTGGCCAGAATCTCGGCCTCGCTGATATATTTCACCAATATAGCCTTAGCAAAAATAAAGGTGGGCTTTGCTGGTATCTGAAAGTCAGGAAAGGCCGAGCAAAGCTCATTGAAAGTAATCCAGACAAAGAAATCAACGATGACGATTTCTTGTGGGTGTCCGGTCGTTATGAGGACACCGAGGCGCCCATACCGGGCTGGTACATTAGGAAAGATTTCGGGAGTGCCGGTGAGTAGCTCGGTGAACTGTGTTATTTTCTTTCTGCATTGGTCTTCGTTTGCCGATCTAACATTTGTCTTCTTTTTGCAGATTATAAGCTCCTGGTAGAGGATTACTCCCGCGCTAACCATGAAGCTATAAGGGTCGTGTTGCGCCATCCGGTCGAAGAGCAAGAGTCATCAAAACTGCTTGGTTTCGAACCGATCTACTACTACACAGTACTGCGCAAGAGCAGGGTAACCGACTTTTTGCATGCGCCTTCCCCAGAACCAGATCCAAACCTTCCACTGATCAAACTGTTCCCACTGACAGTTGAGCAAGAGATGGCCAAGATTCGAGCAATCAAATCGATGATCACTGACGAGGAGAGCGACTCTCAGCCACTGGAGGCATCCAGAGGGACTTTTTCCACGCCGGCTGCGCAAAGGGAGGGTGCTGTGTTGGCTCTAGCCAGCAAACAAGCTGTTGGCTGGTCAAAGAAGAGGCTGAGAAAGGATAAGGTTAAACAGCACCTAGCAGATGAGGATTCAATCGAGCACGCTTCCACCGACATGGGGGACCAGACTGAACAACCGATCACCGGGCCATCCAAAAGCTCGAGTGCCCCCCCAGTCTGGTCGCTCGAGTTATCATACAAAAGTTGGGTTGTCTCCACTGCAGATTCAGTTTACGCGGACAAGGACTACTCTCTCGGTTTCAACATGACCAAGGGGCTGCTCTTTCCCACCGACATGAAGAAGCATGACGAGCTGTCCAACCTGAAGGTGCTCCGCTCGGCGGCGAAATCAATAGTGCTAGTAAGTTGACAGTCTCCTTTCTTCGTCAAGTTTTTGCTCGGTTTTTCCATTTTGACAATCTTCCTGTGCTTTTAGGCTGCGCAGAAGAACTACTTGGCCCACGAGCGAATGATTGCCGTGCGGCAAAGTCTGCAGGATGCAATTTCTGACAACAAGGCCAAGACGGCCGAGTTGACTAAGCTGAAGGCCACGCAGGAGGCGGCAGAGGCTGAACGCGATACACTAAGTCAGAAATTGGCCCGGGCTGAAGAAGACAAGCAGAGGGTCGTTCAAATGACAAAGGCTCGCTACCTCACCGAGCTGCGAAAGCTTCGGGATGCCCACAAAGCTGAGAGGGACAAGGCGGTAGACGATGCTGAAGACCACGGGTATGCAGAGGGTGAAAGGACTTATGAGCAGCAAGTTCAAGCGACCAAGGACATCTTTTTCTAGTGCGGTTGGAAAGCTGCCATGGAAAAAGTTGGCCTTGGTCAAGACACCGAGATGTTCCAAAACCCACCTGCTGCCTACATCCTGGCCTATACGATGGCCTACACTAGCGCCGCGCAAAAAAGACTTATTAAAGAGGCGAAGAAGGCAGCTGAGGAAGAGGCAGCCGCCGTACAACCAGCCGAGCCAAATCCCCCCGAAGTTTTTGATGGGGCTGAGGACCGTGAGGCGGAGCAAGAGGTTGTCACGGTTGCTGATGCCGAAACAGAAGATGCCGAGGTGGGCCTGGCCGAACAAAATGTCTTTCTAGATTTAGATTGATCTCTTCTGTCTCTTTTTTTTTCTTTTTTTTTTTTTGAATGTAACCGGGCTTGGCCCCACTTTTGTAACCCAACTTGCTTTATCAATGAAAATTCTACTTTTCGCCCGTAATGTGCAAATTTTCTTTGATTTCAAATGTAGACACCAACTTTTAGCTCGGCTACAAAGTTTGCGGGCGAGCAAAATCAGCTCGGCCCTTACATGAATTGGGCAAAACGCCAACTTATTTGTTGGGCGAGCAAAATCAGCTCGGCCCGTTGGAAGTTTGGAAAAATGCTAACATTTCACATGGAGAGCAAAGTCAGCTCGTTTCATTTAGGCGAGCAAAATCAGCTCGACCATTACAAGTTGGTTAGAATGCCAACTTTTTACACGGACAAGCAAAGTCAGCTCGGCCCTGAAAGAAAATGGACAAAGTACCAACATTTATTTGGGCGAGCAAAATCAACTCGGCTCTTACAAGTTGGTCAGAACGCCAACTTTTTACACGGGCGAGCAAAGTCAGCTCGGCCCTTAAGGAAGTTGGACAAAGCGCCAACATTTCGTTTGGGCGAGCAAAATCAGCTCGGCCCTTATAGGTTGGTCAGAGCGCCAACTTTTTACACGGGTGAGCAAAGTTAGCTCGGCCCTTAAGGAAGTTGGACAAGCGCCAACATTTCGTTTGGGCGAGCAAAATCAGCTCGGCCCTTATAGGTTGGTCAGAGCGCCAACTTTTTACACGGGCGAGCAAAGTCAGCTCGGCCTTTAAGGAAGTTGGACAAGCGCAAACATTTCATTGTAGATGAGCAAAAATCAGCCCGGCCTTCATGCAATTTGGATAGAATACCAACTGTTTGTACGGCCTGTCTCTACACCGGCGAGAAAAAGTCAGTTCAGCTCAGTGTAAGTTGGCTCAGTGTAAGTTGGTCTTCTTGCCCCTAGCGTCTTCAGTGGCCCAATATCCCTGTGATGTCATTATGCAGAAACTCATAATATAAAAAAATGGGGCTGTTTCTCATTACATGCCAGCGATTTACATCAAATGCCAAAAGGCTAAATATTCAAAAGGCTAAGTAACAAAAACGATTACATTTCAAAAGTAAAAAATCCTAAGATTAGCTGCATTCTATGGTCTGGGGATAGCTTTTCCATCTAAGTCTTCCAAATGGTATGCCCCTTTACCTGCCAGGCCAGTCACCTTATATGGCCCCTCCCAATTTGCACCAAGTTTCCCTTCGCCAGGGACTATTGTGTTGCCCATCACCTTTCTTAACACCCAGTCCCCAACCTTGAACAGCCTCGGATGCACGGCCTTGTTGTATTTCCTGGAGAGTTCTTGCTGATAGGCTGCTATGTGGATCAGAGCCCGTTCCCTTCTTTCTTCGGCTAGGTCAAGTTCCAATGCCACTGCTTCATTGTTCAAGTTTGGCTCAAAGCTTTTAGACCAAATGGTAAGCATACCAATTTCCAATGGGATGGCGGCCTCCATGCCATAGGCTAAGGCGAACGGTGTTTCCCCGGTAGAGCGTCTGGGCGTGGTGCGGTATGCCCAGAACACGTTGGGGAGTTCTTCAGCCCACTTCCCTTTGGCTTTTTCTAGCCACTTCTTCAGCCCGTCCAGGATGGTCTTGTTTGAGGCTTCTACTTGACCATTTGACTAAGGGTAGGCCGGTGTGGAGTTATAGAACTCAATCTTTAACTCCTCGTAAAATCCATAAAAAAGTTTACCATCAAATTGGGTGCCATTATCTGAGATGAGGGCCCTTGGTATACCGAAGTGAGTGACGACATTTTGCCAAATGAACTTCTTTACGTTTTTTTCCTTTATGGTCGCCAATGGCTCGGCCTCAACCACTTGGTGAAGTAGTCGGTGGCAGCGATGAAGAACTTGCGGTTGCTCGGGGCTGCTAGGAGTGGTCCTACAATATCCAAACCCCAAAGCGCGAACGACCGAGGACTTGTAAGGGGAAGCAGTTCTCTGGTCGGTTGGTGGATTTGGTGAGCAAATTTCTGGCATTTTTCACACCTGCGAATGTATTTCTGTGCATCCGCCTACATGCATAGCCACCAGTAACCTTGGAAAATCGCTCAGTAAGCCAGAGACCTACCCTCAGTATGACTCCCGCAGATGCCTTCATGGATCTCGTAAAGGAAAGCTTTAACCTTGTCGGGGGGGACGCACTTCAGATACGACCCGGTAAAAGACTTCTTGTACAAGGCTCCAGATGAAGAGCGCCAAAATCGCTCTGATTTGGCTAGGATTTTGTTGGCCGCCTTCTTCTCTTCTGGAAAAATTCTATCTTTTAGGAAGGCGATGATGGGGTCCATCCAGGATGGTCCCAGGTCGGTGTAGAGTACCTCGGACACTTCTGGTTCCTCTATGCTTGGCTGAGGTAGGAATTTTATCATCAAAGGATTGGGGAAAGCTGTTTGCGTGGACGCAAGGTCGGCCAACTCGTCAACTGTGTTATTTTCTTCACGGTTGATTTGTTCCACTTTTATTGAGGCAAACTTCTTTATTTCTGCGCGCACCAGCGCCTGATACTTGGCCATTCTTTCATCCTTGGCTTCATACTCCCCAGAGACCTGATTGACCACCAGCTTAGAGTCGCTGAATACCATAAGAGCCGATGGTTTCATTCTTAACGCCCTCCTCAGTCCGGCAAGGAGGGCCTCGTATTCCGTTTCGTTGTTAGACGCCGGGAAGCCGAGCGTAATTGCCTGCTCTATAATCAGCCCGTCCGGGGAAGTTAGCACGATACCCAGCCCGGCGCCATGTCTGTTGGAGGCCCTATCGACGAAGAGCTTCCACATCTCGCCAATGAAAAACTTCCAGCAATCGGATGGGTTTTGGGAGCTCCTCAACTCCAAGGTTCCGGTCGGTTCATTCTGGTCTTTCTCCATGCCTCGGTTAGGCTTGTCTTTCGATAAGTTATCCGGCTTTTCCAGTTCGGATGCCATTTGTCCTTCTTCCATTTGTGACCCAACACTTGTCTCTATTGCCTGTACCATGGGCCGCGCCAAATCCGCAGTAGCCAAATCAACCGGGCAAACCGGATGCATTCCAGGGGCAAACTCCGCCACAAAGTCTGCAAGAGCCTGAGCCTTGATCGCGGTACGTGGTTGGAACTTAATGTCGTACTGCCCCAATTTGACGGCCCATTTCAAAATTCTCCCTATAAAGTCTGCCTTTGCAAAGAGCACCTTGAGTGGAAACTCGGTCAACACCACTATCGTGTGGGCATGAAAATAGTGTGCCAGTTTTCTAGAAGCCATCATCAGGGCCAGGGCTAATTTCTCTAGCGGCAGATATCTCAATTCAGCAGGGAGCAAGGTCTTGCTTACGTAAAGGATGGGAAGGTGCTGGGTGCCTTCAGCACGGACCAAAACCACGCTCATCGCATGTTGAGAGACCGCTAAGTAGAGATACAGTTCTTCGCCCAGCTGTGGTGTAACAAGGATAGGGGTTGAGGACAGGTACACTTTTAGATCCGTCAGCGCACGGTCACATTCGTTGTCCCAGAAGAACTTGGCCTTCAAAGTTTTGAAGAAGGGCTTGCAACGATCTGAGGATCGACTTATAAATCCATTCAGCACGGCTGCCATCCCGGCGAGATGTTGCACGTCCTTCGTGGAGTTTGGTCGCTCCAGCTCTTGTATTGCCTGATTTGGGATGGGTCGGCTTTAATCCCTCGGTTCGTGACCAGAAAATCTAGAAACTTTCCAGTGCCGACTCCGAAGGCGCACTTGGAGGCATTCAAACGAAGCTTGTGATGTTTTAGTGTAGCGAACATCTCTGCTAGGTTGGCGAGGTGTTGAGACTTTTCCTTGCTCTTTACCACCATATCATCTATGTAAGCCTCCATAGTGCGTCCCAGATGGGGAGCGAACATCTGGGTTACCATCTTTTGAAAAGTTGCCCCGACATTTTTTAGTCCGAATGGCATGACTTTGTAATAATACAGGCCCCTCGGGGTGGTGAATTAAGTGATCTCTCGGTCTGGTTCATACATGGCTATCTGGTGGTAGTCGCGGTATGCGTCCAAGAAGCTGAACCTCTGATGGCCAGCGGTCAAGTCCACCAGCTGGTCGATCCGTGGGAGGGGGAAGCTATCTTTTGGGCATGCACGGTTAACTGTTTTATAATCGACACACACCCGCCACTTGCCATTCTTTTTTGGAACCACCACCATGTTGGATATCCATCGAGGGTATTGCACTTCTTCTATTGCCCCTGCTTCCAACAAGTTCTTGACTTCTTCCACCACCACCTCGGCGTGGTGCAAGGCCGAGCGACGTGTCCTCTGGATGACCGGTCGTGCATTAGGGAAGACATTCAACTGATGGCAAATGAAGCTAGGGTCGACGCCAGGCATATCGTAAGGCGTCCACGTGAAGGCTTCCATATTGGAAATTAGAAAGTCAACGTACGCATGTCGTTCGGCACTGGACAGAGATGAGCCCAAAAGAAAGAACTTGTTGGGGTCATTCTCATCTATGCGCACCCCCACCAAATTTTCAATTGATTTCTCTTCGGCCTTTCTCCCCACGTCTTCTAAGACCTCCTTTCCCTCCGGTTCCTCTATCATTTGAACAAATCCTTTGGCGGCTCGGCTGCCGTTCACCGCAACGAAACACTGCTTCACCATCACTTGGTCTCCCTAAACCTCTTCTATTTGCCCAGTTGGCGCCGGGAAGCGCAGAACCTGATGGTAGGTTGATGCTCAGCTGCCGTTCACCGCAACGAAACACTGTTTCACCATCACCTGGTCTCCCCGAACCTCTTCTATTTGCCAGTTGGTGCCGTGTCACGACCCAAAGCCGCCCCTATGGGTTTAGCACCGTAACCGGCCAGTAATCCGAGATTACCGAAGGCCTGCTTAACAGTAATACAGTAATACAGAGTACAGGGACTAGCGGAAGCCAATACAGTAATTAAACAATGTCCAATGAGCTGTGACAGTCAGTATGCCAAAAAGACTTGTTATTCAAATGTATACAGTCAGACAAAATAGTATGTACAAATATACAGTCATTCAGTTTAGGGACCTAATCCCTATTAAACAGTACAGTAACAGTCTATACAGTCGTACAAAACAGATACAGAGACAGACGGGGAAATAAAAAAGCATCCCTAAGCCGTAACTTGACAGGCTCGGAACCTCACATTGAGGCACATAGGTTGGCTTGACAAAACTGGAGTTACCCCGACGCTTCTAGCTGCGGTCTGGTGCCTGTACACCTACATATATATATGAGCAATGAGTTAAAGCCCAGTGAATAACACAATGCGTAAAGGGGTTAAGAATGAATGTCCTTACAGTAATGAAAACAGTTCATTAAATCAGTATTTCAATCATTCAGTCAGTGCAGTCATATGTGGTACATCCATTAGCATAACAGTACAGTAAACAGTAGGTCTAAAAAGACCGAGCAGTAAATGATGGCCATCAGTCAGTAACAGTAGTGGTTTCAACGAGGGAACCGACAGAGATCTCTGTAGCAGTATCAGTAAACAGTAGGTGCTAAGGATGCCACAATACAGTTCAGAATATAGGACATACATTCATTCAATTAACAGTAATCAGTTCAGAAAGCAGTACAGTTCAATTGTTCAGAAGATAATCATTTTGAACATATCTTTACACAGATGTTACTCACAGAGTTCTGGGTTACAGTAAAGCTAGAGTGCGTCCCCAGTCGCCAACCCTACACAGTTACAGATTAACACACATTAAGCCACACAGTTGGGAAAGATAACAGCTTAATCCCTAATGCCTCGGTGTGTTTCTACATCTATATCCTCCTTAAGATATCTTAAACTAGGCCTAAGGATGCCTAGAATGAGATGAGGATGTAAAGATGCACTTTCAGACTTTTCATAAAACAGGGGTCACGCTCAAGCGTTGGTTACTTCGCTCGAGCGGACATGCAGACAAAGGTTTCTGCTCGAGTGTAGACTTACCCGCTCGAGCGTTCTGCAAAACAGTCAAAAGTGCTGGATAGGCGAAAATCACGCTCGATTGGGCGCTCGACACCCGCTCGAGCATGAGACACAATGTCCTGCTCGAGCGTCAATTAATCCGCTTGAGCGGACTTCAAAACAGAACAAAAATGCTGGGAGCACAATTTCCACGCTCGAGCGCCAGTCACCCCGCTCAAGCGTAAGTCCAAATTCTGGAAATTCCAGATTTGAACCTCAAGCTCAAAACCAAGTTTTAAACTATAAATTTCGATCCTCTTAGGCCAATTTTCCAGAAAACACATCAAAACTCATAGTTTAACATGATTCAAAGCTCAATTTGCAAAATCAAAGCCCAAGGATGTTTCAAATAAATCCAATTCAAACCAATTTCCAAGAATCTGAAAAGCATGCAAACATGCATGAATTCAAACCAATTTCCAAGCTTCAAAACATGCTCTAGAGAGCCAATTGTTCAAAAAACAAGATGAAAACATGGACTACTCTTAAAACATGGACATGCATGTGAGGAATGTGAACTACAACCTCAAAACTTCAATATATATATATGCATGCAACAATTAAGCTACAATTCAACAAGTAAGAGCCATAACTTGGCTTAAGGCTTCAATTTGCTGTAAATCATGCAAGAATTAGCTCAATGACAACAATAAGAAGATGAGTTTCCTACCTTAGTCTTGTATTCAAGGTTTAGGAGCTCAAATTAACAATCAACCTTCAATTTCTTCAATTAACAAGCAAAACTCAAGATGGAATCCAATTTCTCTCACTCTCTCCCTCTCTTCTCTCTTGGTCGGCTAAGGCTCAAGAAAAAGGGCTGAAGGAGTTGTGTTGTGATCAAGTGTAAAGCTCTCAAAGGTGTTAAGCTAGTGGCCCACTAATGGTGGCAAAATGGTGAATAAACCAACTCATGCAATCTTTCAATATTTAATCTAGTTTAATCGTACCTAATTGATTTTCAGATAAATACGCTATAAAATCACATAAATTACGATGATCATAAAACACCAATCGATTTCCGGTTCGGCCGCCGATAAGGCCTTCAATTAATAGTTTAACCATAAAAATGCAAACAGATAATCAAACAATCAAACAGATAGCCATACAATTGAACAGATATACTCAGTTAATTCAGTTTCAATTTCAGTCAGTCAGTTCAGTAGTTTATTCAGTTCACTTATCAGTTATAATCAGTTCAGTTTAACGGTAATCAGTAGTTTATCGGTAAACAGTAACGAGGGTTGTTACATGCCAGAAAGTGCAGAACCTGATGGTAGGTTGATGCTACGGCTTGCATGGCGTGCAACCAGCTCCTGCCCAAGATTAAGTTGTAGGTGGATGGGACATTGAGCACCCAGAATTCTACTTGCTTTATGACCGAACCCACCTTGACCGGCAAAATGATCTTTCCCACTGGCCACTCTGGCCGAGAGTTTAAGCCAACCAAAGGAGACGTTGCAGGGGCCAAGTCCTTGTTCTCCAACTTCATTTGCTTGAATGCGTTGTAATACATGATTTCGACCGAACTCCCCTAGTCAATCAAGATCCTTTTGATGTCAAAGTCCTTGACGCGAAGAGTCACTACTAGGGCGTCATTGTGGGGCATCTGAATTCTCTCCAAGTCTTTACTGGAAAAGGTGAGGATATCCTTCTCTTCGAACTTTCCTTTCTTCACAGCGGGCTAAACGGAGAGCACTTCCCTCATGTGTTCGACTTTCTTAATCATCCCTCTCAGCTCGCAGACCCTTGCCGGTTCAATGATGCCATGGATGACATTGATTACGCCTTGGGGCGCTGCCTCTAGGGCGGCTAGGCCGTTTGGCTCGGTTTGCCCCGGCGGGGCGGTTTTCATACCCCCATCTATGTACTGGTCCAAATGTCCCGCCGTCACCAGCTCCTCCAAATGTTGTTTAAGTGGCAAGCAATCCTCCGTTCGGTGCCCCCGTTCCTCATGAAAGGTGCATCGTTACCTTGAGTTAAAGCCTCTCTGTGCATTCCCCAACTTTGCCGGCCATCGGACGAAGGGCTCACCTTGGATTTCACTCAGGATGCGGTAAATGGAGATCTTAAAGACCGTGGTGATACCAGTTCACGCCTTCAATTTCCTTTTGGCGTCTTCCTCTTCGTCACGGGAAACGTTAGCTCAGTCGTTTCTGCGGCCTTTGTTTCTATCATTGCGATTTAAGTTACGACGTTGATCTTTTGACCGGTCGTTTGGGCGGTTGTCCTCTTGCCCGACCGAGTGAACTTTTCCCGCCACTCTTCTATCCGCCGCAACTAGATTAGCCTTCTCAGTCGCGGAGGCGACATCATCCTCCACACGGATGTGTTCGTTGATCCGTTGCATCAAGGATTCCATGGTTGTGGGCTGGTGCATTGTAAGCGAATCTCGCAGCCTATGACCGACTGGAAGACCTCGCTTGTATTGAGTAATCGCCAAATTGGTGGGGCAGTCGAGCATCTCATTGTAAGTTTCCCAGTACTTCGCATTACATGCCTTCAACGAACCTCCAGACTCCATCTTGACGCGTAGGAAGTGGTCGACCTCTTTTGGTGTTCGAGTGTTGGTTTTGAATCTGGTGACGAAGGCCTCCACTAATTGCTGCCACCCCTCGATACTCCCCTCCGGAAGCTTTTCGAACCATTTTAGGCCCAGTTCTCCCAAGCTTGCCGGGAATATGAGGCACATCAAGGCTTCATTGCACCAGTGTTCAGCCATTACTTGCCGGTAATGACTCATGTGCATGTATGGATCCATCCTGTCGTCGTACAAGGTGAACTTAGGCTGGTAGAATCCGGCAGGGAGTGGTGTACTCTCGATTTCTGGAGACAGTGGCGTAGCTGTAAGTCTCGCCAGCTCTTTGTCCACAAGCGCTGGGGCCACCATTCTGGGCGCTGGCATTGCCACTTCCTTACTACACCGGATTTGGGAACTTAGCCTCTGCAACGCCGGCAATCTCTGAGTCTCTTTACGGCGTGCCCTCTCTTCCAACATATCCCTCAGGTCTATGGAACTGGCGGAAAAAGAGTATCGCGACGTCGACGATGGGCGCGAAGGACAGTAGGTGCTGTCGCGAGTGAGAGATTTGCCCTCCTGTGGGTTGGAGTCCCCAACCCCATAGCTCCTGGTGATAGAGAGAGAATGCGTCATTTCTTGGCGGCGACTGCTAGAACGAGGAGACGGGGTGCACTCACTGAGGTTGTCCTCCCCAGCAACACCCTTCTCCTTGATTTGGTGCTTTAGCACCTTCTTTTCAGCCGTTATCTTGCGAATGAGGGCGTTCTGATCTTTGAGTTTGTGCTCCAGGCGTTGTGCATGCAAATCCTCCCGCCGACGACGGCCCTCAGGACTCTTCGAGCGATCAGTACTCCTTGCGCGTTTGTCTCGCGCACCTCTCGAAGAGGTCTCTAGGTCCGCCATGGCTGGAATGTTTGGGGGGGCCTTCTCTCCGACGAATAGATGCTGGTGTGACACCATCGATAACGGACAGTGGAGTTTCGTCGTTGTTAGCCATGGAAACGGTCGAAAAAGCTTGAAGGGCAAGGTTTGTGTATCAAACTCTTCCCACAGACGGAGCCAATTGTACGGGGGTGAAATATTCTTTGCTTTCCGTACTCCTAGAACTCAAGCTTCACGTAACGACGTCTGACCTGGAAACAGAGAAACGGTGAGCTGCCCGGCGGTGTGTTGCCGGATAGACCCTCCGACGATCAAGTCAGAACACTTGAGGAAGAAGAATACTGTTTTAGAGAGAGAGAGAGTCATTCAGACGGCATACCTCTAACGTTCCCCTTCCTTCCTTTTTCTAGGCTGGCCATGCAGCCTCAAGGATTATGCACGCATTACCTCTGCTATCCTTCCCTGGACAGGTGGCAGTGCTCGCCTCTCACCACCATATGCGTGTAAAGGCCAAAACCTCCAAACAATATATGCAGAACTGCCAAGCGGTATTGACGTGTGTTTGGAGTGGGTTTCCCCTCCACCACATCATTGATCTAGGTGGCACACTCAACCGGGATATCATGACCGACCTATCCCTTGAAGAAACACAACTACGGTCAATACGGCCGAGCTGTAAGAAGTCGGTTCTTCCGGATTGACTGGCCGTGAGGCGCACTGGCCTTCGCCACGGTCTAAATTCATTCCGGGCTATGCTTGGTGCGGTTCCGATCAGGAACACGAATGCCTAGCCGAATCACAACTTGGTCGGGAACACGCATGACTCCATGCTCCTGTCGACTGATCTAGCTCGGCCCGGCGCGACGGCCCGTGGAGCCGCTCCAACCGAGCAAACGATGTGACTCGGCCACCCGCTATAACCTGCGTTACCGTAGCTCGGCCGTACTTGTCCGGCGCAAATCTCCCTCTCAAGCATGGACAAAAAGAAAAAAAGAGAGGCTTGGGTTTGAGGAGATAGACGTATGTCTGTACTGATTTGAATGAAGTAGAGACTCAGACGCTCAATCAATAGAATGTGTCAAACTTTGTTTATGAATGTGTAATGTCGACTATGTGTTTGTTGAAAGTCCGAGAAGAGACTGATCAAAAATTGAATCTTCTTGATGCATTTTTTTAACAATAGAATAGAAGTATAATATATGAGTATGATAACCAAAACTTATTGGCCATGAATACTTGCCCAGTACAATTTAGCATGGTTTGTAGCTAGTAAACTCAAAGTGGTCCAGTTCTCAGCCCCACGCTCGAAAGAACACATGGGAAGTTAGTGGGAACCACGAGACTACTGGTAATTCAAGTGTGCGCTTCTAATTTCTTGATTGGACCACATGTGATGCTTTATGGGCCTACCTGAAGCAGTGTTTTTGTAATTATTTAAAATTTTGAAGTGTATTGCAAAAGCTTTAACCTGCCGGGTTTGGGACCCGTTTCTGTGCCATCCCTCTAGTTCCCAATGGCGGAAATCTGGCTCTGCCCCCGGCTATCAGCTATGAAGCACATGTAAAAGGTACGGATATCAGTACTGATATTGATGTGATATGGATACGTCAATAAGATAAAATTAAAAAAAAAAAAAAAGGATATCGGTACGGTTTTGATATGTTTGTAAAAAAAATATTTATTTTTAATTTGAAGTAATGCAAAAATTGAATAAATGGATTAATTTGTTGAGATCTAACCTACAATTAACATTTAATGTCAAAAGTAAGGTATAAATCAAAATTAAATATTATTATATTAAATACAAAAATAATTGAGACTCCCAAATTTTGTGACCCCAATGACCCCCAATTGATGGTGACCACTCATTTTTTATTTTTTTTCTCTCTCTTCACTCTATCTGACAAATGTTGTGGGGGTTGTGGGGTCTATAGCATGATTGTATCAAATAACTTACAAATCATAATTTAACTTTAAAATCGTACTAAGTATAAAATTAAAAATAAAAAAGAAATTCAGTGAAAGGATTTTTATCTTTATAGTTTAAAAAAATATTATTTTGACTGAGATATGGTACAGTTTGGGTTTATACTTAGTACGTCTGGGTATGTTAAAAATTAAGAAGAAAAAATTTGAATAAGTGTTTCGTATACCCGATACGTATGTAGAAGTATCATACGAAATATTATATGCAGGTAAGTATCCGATACAGATACGCCATGTTTCTCCAAATACCCATGTTTCATAGGTTACGAGAGATAAATGAAGATTATACTCTGCTCTTACTGTCAAAGTACTATGATTTAAGGGCACTTTTTGGTGGATCCGCCTTTTGTACAGTCATTCAAAATTTTCCATATATATCACCTGCCTTGGTTTCATTTGTTGCTCTTGTGATGTCCTCATATTCCCTATTTTGTGGAGGTAAAAGCTTTAGGAATCACATTTGATTCTTACATTTGTCTCGAATCAAATTATGTGATCTGTTTATGATGCTAATCTTTTCAGTAAAGCTTGTATTAAAATGGACGGTGTGCGCAAAAAGATAGTAGTTGCTTATGCTAGAAGAATGGTACAAATTCTTTTCCTTGTGTCCACTAAGACACTCTAGAAACAGATATAGAATAACAACATATCAGTGAATTGATGTGTTAAACCCAAAGTAAAAATCGTAGAATCCAAAATCTTTTCAGTTTTGATTAAGTTGTTGTTTTTTTAATCACAATTTATTACTGGTTTGTTACAGGTGGTGACTCTAAAGAAATGTGGTAGTTTTTGTAAGCTTGATTGAATTTTTTAAGTAGTACTATCTTTATCAATTTTTATAAATTTAGAAATGTTAGTGGCTAGTACAATTAGATATCATATGATGTGGTAGTTTACATTATACTAATCACATCATTTGATGAATCTCACATTTTATTTAAAAAGCACCAATGTAAAAGTAGCTTATCACATGATATCATTAATATCATGTGAGATGTCAAATCAAATAATACCCAAGTATAATATCAAAATATGATCGCCCTAACAATACAATAAATATAAATAGAAATAGAAATAGAGCAAAGATGCTTAGCATATTCAACTAATTTATCTCCCCCGTCTAATTTACTTTACTTTAAGACTATTAAATGCCACTTTCATGTAATGTTAACAAGGAATTATATATAGTTACATACTGATAATAGAAGGTACACCAGGTCAACACTTGAAAAACACGCTAAGTGGTAGTTCATTCTTGACAGATAGATGCTAGGCCAAAGCACTGTCACAGTAACAATATTATGCACATAAAAAATTAGTAATTAAATTTATTTTAAATGTGATTCACATTAAATCTAAGTATGTGTCATACAATGTATTTTTAATATGGTTTTTCAAAATACATAATTTATCCACAATCCCAGTACACCCTTGCTGAGCTAGCCCAAAATAGTTGTGGAGTGTCTATAAATAATTAACTCTTGAACATACTGATCAAAAAACCAGTGCTGCTCTCTCTCTCTCTCTCTCTCATGGCTTCCTTGGCTGACTTTGCAGACGATAGCAAGGAAATATATGTAGCTCTAATGAGAGAAGAAGCAGACAAGGTGCTTGAACTCTGCAAAGAATTTCAAGATGGCCCGTTGCATGTGATAACCATACACAAGGACACAGTCCTCCATATGGCCACATACTCTAAACAAACTGACTTAGTGCTTGAGTTGCTGAAAATGGTCTCTGCAAATCATCTTCACAAAATGACACATCAAAATGGAGTTGGAAACACCATCCTCCATGAGGCTGCTACTTCCGACAAATTACTCCCAGCTGCGAGGGAAATGTTGCGCATGGCACCCCGGTTGTTAGATGTATGCAACTGTTTCAATGAGACGGCTCTTTACCGGGCAGCACGCTTTGGCAAACTGGATATGTTCAAGCTTCTTGATCATGAGGTCAACCAAATCGGCAGAACTGTGAGAGACGTAGAAGCATATAGCAAGGCCTTTTATCAAAAGAAGGACAATGACACTATACTTCACACGTCCATTGTCATGGAGGAATTTCGTGAGTAGTGATCTCATCTCAACTAAATTATAAAATCCATCCTATCATCAGTAGTGAGATTAGCCTATTTGTCTTCTTCAACATACCTTGTTTTGTCATTCTATGATACCACATCATCTAGTAGCAATGTGTATTGCAACTTAGACCCTAGTTTTTACAAGTTGAAAGTTGATAATCAAGAGTATAAATTAAAAGCATGAGGGAAAATTTCACTCTACTCTCTTATAGTTTGACTTGTGCAAATCACCTCGTCATTTGGAAATAATCATGTATTCCCATGTGGTTTGAGGACTAAATCACGCACTATGTATTATTAATAGAACATGTGAATTGACCTTTACATTTACACATACATATCCGCTGCCTTGCTTCTTCCTCCCATGGATGCCAACCAAAAGCCCCTGCAGCCCACTACTCCCTGCGGCCAACCCCCACCCCAGGGACCACCACCCAACAACCTTTCGCCATGCTGCCCACCCCATCCCACCCCACCGCAGAGATCACCATTTTGCAGCCCCCTCATCCCCACAATCTTCCTCTCACCTGCAGCCCCAAGTGACCACCACCCTGCCTTCCCACCCATTGTTGCCCACCTAGTGACCACCAGTTTGCAGACCCCCCTACCCTTCAACCCTTCCCACTGTGACAGGCTGAATGGCTATTTTGATGTTTTTCAGCAGATATAAGAGGTGCTAGTGTTGATGGCTGGGAAGGAAAAAGGGAGTAGAGAGAAAAAAGAAGCAAAAAGAAGGGAATAAAAATGACATTTTTTTATTTATTTATTAATTTTGAAGTTGTATAAGGGTTTTTTAAATCATGAAATTGGACTTGCTCTCCATAAGCATGTGGCTCTCACAGTCTGTTATTTTAGATAAAAAAAACTAGCGATACACTTTAGTCCACAAACCACATGGGGGGTTACGTGGTCATTTCCAAATGACAGGGAGGTGAATTACACATTGGCTAGCCACAAGGGGGCAAAGTGAAATTTTCCTGCATAATTTCTCTGTTTTTTCAATAATAACTTTTTTATAAGCTGTAAGTAGAACCTTCAGAAATAGGTACATATTCTCAAGGGGGGAAAAATGTAAACAGCTCCAATAATTTGCACTGAACCCTTATAAGTTGCTTTCTTTTTTCCTTTATTCATCAATTTCTTACTGTAAAGTATGAACAGCCCTGGCCCTTTTGATTGCCAAAGAGTATGAATACTTAATCGGGGAACAGGACAGAGATGGGATGACTGCTCTTCAACTTCTTTCTTGCAATCCATCGGCTTTCAAAAAAAGTAGTAGAAGATCCCTTAGGCGTCTCGTTTACTCTTGTAAGATACTTTCCTTTTATTTAACTTAAATAGTTTGTAATTCCATTTTACAGATTTAATTAGCTAACATATCTGATATGAGACAATCTTTTCTAGTATGTGTCAAAGGCTTAAAAACATAAAAATTGGTTGCTTTTCAGGTGTTTCAATTGAAGAAGACACAATTGCAACAGAAGGTAATGGAACATATATTTATATAGACATGGGAAAGTTTGCAACCATGTTTCAACTATGTTAATTGTCAACATATTATATGTTCATTTTTTTCAATATAAAATTGGTGGGAAAGTCTATAGTACATTTTGTTTAAAAAATGTATGGTACATAGAAAATCAATGGTTCAGATTGAGCCACATCATTAAAAGTGACCTGGTAAGCAGGTCACTTTTTATAGTTATGAGCCAAAATAAATTGTGAGAGCAGGTATCGAGACATAAATAAATACACACACATATAATGGTGAAATTTACAACCCTGTTTCAACTATGTTCATCAACACATTTTAGGTTAATTATTTCGATCATGCTTCTCCTGAGGTTGGGAAACAATTTTAAACGGTGAAGATGGGTACGCCAAGATCTTAGCCTCCAAAACCGAGGTTAGTACATATTTGACTGTGTCGTTGACCAGAGGGCACTCCAATGATGAAGCCAGCAACCTCTCTCTAGAATTTCAATAGCACAAGTCACTACAAAAAATTAAGATTTTAAAGACCAAAATTAAGGAACAAAATTATTTTTTAGGGACTAAATATTTTTGTTGCGAAAAGTGTCATTATATTTTTAGCAATGAAAATTAAACATTAATGATGAATTATTATCTTTTTGGGACCAAATTTTTTGTCTAAAAAAATAAACCATTTTAAGACTAAATTATTTTGTCCCTAAAAGACTATTTATTAGTGACATTTTTAAAATTTTGTCGCTAAAAGCTTTGTTTTTTATTTTTCGAGACAACTTTTTAGCGACTATTCTCATGACGATAAAAATTAGTCCCTAAATATCTTTTGTAACAAAATTTTTACTTTTAAAAATCAAAATATTTTGTCTCTAAAATTTTTATATGTTGTAGTGTGTAACTCAACCCTTGGGGGCATAGCCCTTTATATAGGAGCACCCTACCAACTTCCTAGTTCTCATTTTCAAACTAGGAATACACTTGCCTAACAAGTATTCTTTATCTAAGACTCCTTTCCTAATTAGGATTTTATCTTCACAGGAGTCTCTATTTTATCCAACTTATGGGAGTCACATTGACTGAGGTTTCACATTCATCATAACCTTGGCGGTTTGTGTCATGTCACCTAGCACCTCGGTATGTGGTCATGCCACGTAGCCAACCTCCTGGAGCCACATGGTCCTACTTAGAAATACATTCCCACAGACAATTGAAACATCATTAGTACGAACTAGATCACAACTAAGAGCAGTCTTCGAAGAATTCATTTTTGATGTTTCACTAATAATAGTAGACATGCTAAGACTAGTGCATGCATGCAGGTTTGATTGATGGTCAATGGCCATCAACATTTGTTCAATATCCTCTTAATTCTAATGACATTTTTTTAGTATGTTATCTTTTTGTTTGGCTACTACAAGAATTTGGAGGTGTTATGCAGATGAAGTTGTCGCACTAGAACAATTTGAATTGTTTGACGGTTCAAAAATAGCCACTGAACACGAACATATATATATTACTTAGGATCCAAAGAGTTAAATGTGTGATAAAATGGTTTTCATGCTTGCCGCAATCAGTATTGAGAAAAGTTAGGGATCACGAAATTTTTTTTCATGAAAGTAATCATGAAATATTTATGATACTTGGATTACCTTGATTAGTGTGTGATGTTTTATTCTAAGTATAATACAAGGGTCACAAAGCATTCATGATTATTTTCATAAAAGGTTTTTCGTGATACCTAACATTGTTAATCAGTATTTATCATCAGAGAATTGGGGTATTTTTTGAACAAAAATTACACCTTAGCAAAAAAAGGGTAATAACATTTTTGGACCCTAAAGTATCATTTTGTGTCATTTTAGTCCTCAATATTTTAATTTTGTCAATTTTTTTTTTTTTTTTTTTTTTTCTGGATGTAATTTTTCAAGGCAAATTTCAATCTACCTTCCAATAATTTACTCCAAGTTTAGTTTACCTTACCCCGTTGACATGTGAAAACCAGCATATAACACCCTATGGTTGTGTGGACTAAAATGCACCGTTTGTATCATTAATGGCTTAAAAGAAAATACTAAAATACCCTTATAAAAAGTAACCTCATTGTGTAAATCACAGGCATTTTTCATCATTTTTGGAGGACTCAAAATGCACTTTCTCCTTGTGCTTTACTCCACATATGATTTACCCTCTTATCATTTGGATATGAGCACGTAACCCCCTTATGTTCAGGCACATGTATTACATTTTATGTTAACTTGAATGAAATGTCTTTATGATATACTTTTTAGTCGACAAACCACTGGGGGTTTTGTACTTAATTCTAGATGACAAGGACGCAAATCTCATATGGAATAAAAACATAAGTGGTAAACTGAAGTTTGCCTTCTTTTCAAAAAAAAATAAATAAATAAAATGCCCATGACTCTGATGATGAATATTGACAGCATCATCCATTGGGATCACTTTAACACATTTTAAAAATATGGAGACAAAATTAACTCAATTGAAATGTGTCAAATGACACAAAGCACATAATTGAGAGACCAAAAATGTAGTTAGTTCTATTACTTAATAGTGTAATATTTTATATAATTTTTTTTTTTTTTTCCAAACTGATATGGCTGTGAAATATCCTGTCATTTAAATGTAGTGGCTCCCATTTCAAATGCCAAGACTTCACTACTATATGCCACATCAACTTGTAAAATGGCTTGTCTGTATAACATTTTCCTTTCTTAAATAGTTGCACCATTAACATTGTCTATTATTTTATCTGGAAATTGCAGGGAATTGGGAAGTGCCTTTGTGGGAAGCAATTCGGAAGGAGAAGGAAAGATATATATCAGCTTTGAGGCTTGCCAAGTTCTTAATAACGAAAGATACATCATGGAGAGCTACTGAACGAGTGGAAGACCGGTATCATCCTATGACCCATGACTATGGAGGAGAGACCTCTCTAGAAGAAAAAGAAGAGGAAGAGGAAGAGAAAGAGAAAGAGAAAGAGAAAGAGAATGAAGTACAGAAACTACCAATAAATACTGAGACCAGCATGAAGAGGGTTGCTGAAACGCCATTGTTTTTGGCAACCAAGTCAGGATGTGTGGAGATTGTTAAAGAGATACTCGAGCAGTACCCATGGGCAGTTGAACATATTGATAGCAAAGGGCGTACCATGTTACATGTAGCAATAAAGTACCGCCAAATAGAGATATTCAATATTGTGGAGAAAATGGAAGTTCCAATGAGGAGGCTGGAGCGAAAGATCGACAACAAACTCAACACCATTCTGCATATGGTTGGGAAAAAGAGAAGAGATCATACAGCTCGAGAGGTTCAGAGTGCTGCCCTTCAGTTGCGCGAGGACATGCTCTTGTTTGAGGTGTGTGGGTCTTCTATGGTTTCTTCTTCCATGGCCATATGCTTATAAGCAGCAATTCTTAGCATTCAAATTTTTGAAATAGTGTTTGTAATGGGACTGTCTGTTGTATGCAGCGTGTCATGAAAATCTGCCCTAGCCATTTAATAAAGCACATCAACTTCGACGGACAAACTGCTGAAGAGTTATTTGAAGTTAAAACCAAAAAACTTTGCCACGAGGCCAAAGATTGGTATAAGCGTACAGCAGAGCACTGCTCCCTTGTTGCCGTGCTCATTGCCACCGTTGCCTTCGCTGCAGCCTACACAATACCAGGAGGTCCCAATCAAAATACTGGTATTCCACTTCTCCTCGATCAACCTTTCTTCGTCGTGTTCACTATGACCGATGTCCTTTCCCTTACATTTGCTCTGACATCAGTGATAATATTCCTGTCAATCCTCACATCTCCGTTTCGATTAAAGGACTTCAAGCAGTCTCTCCCACAAAATCTAATGCTCGGTGTTACATTTCTGATCTTCTCGGTTTCAATGATGATGTTGGCATTTGCTGCAACTGTGATTCTTATGATACATAATAGGGAGCAGTGGACAAAAATTGCCTTGTACACTGCTGCTTTCCTCCCAGTCACCATCTTCGCACTCTCATACTTGCCTCTGTATATATCGCTCATGAAGACTCTCAATTACTCAATCAAGAAAATAACCATGATTTTTCCTCAATTCACCGGTGATTCTGTTGTATCTTGGGCTGCCAATTCGTTTTCTCACAAATTCAAGATCACAAATTCCTCAAAGCCCACTCAAATTGAAACCTCCAGTTCGACATGCCCTCCTAAATCTAAAGCCTCTCATACTTTAGTTTGAATGGCATGAAGGAATCTTATTTTAGTACTCTTTTAGCAACACCTTGCCCATGATCTCAGAGATTGTTCAGACTCCCAGCGAAATATCTATGGATATTTTATTTCCATCTGTTCTTTTTCTAGCCGTTGAAGTGTATCACAAACTGCACGTATTTTACTTGTGTTGTTGTAGATTTTCTTTATATCTTATTTTGGAAAGCAAAAAATAATGGAAAGTTTGAAAACACCAATCATTCCATATATAATTTTTTTTTTTTTTGAAAAATTAGTGAAACATTCCTTTTCAACCTTGTGTAATAGGAGAGGTTCAAGATGTTTTTTTTTATTAGCTAAGTTCCCTAAATATTTTCATAGAGAAAATTCGACTCAGAAAAATTTGCTCGACTCATAGAAACTTTGCCCAACTTAAACAATTTTTGGCCCTGACTCAGAGAAATTTTGAAATTTCTTTTAGTCGATGGAAATTTTCCTGAGTTTGGCAAAATTTCTTTGAGTCGAATTTTCTTTGTGAAAATGTTGAGGAATCTTAATTACTATGAAAATATTATATGTCTTTCATCTTATAAAATTTTAATATCAGGGACCTTAAAAAAAAATTTCCTTTCTTTTTAATTTTTGTGCAAAATTAGTTTTCCATCTGTTAGCAAAAATTTAGTTTAAGCCCAATCGACAATGATTGATCGACAGACTTAAACAAATTTTAAATAAACACAAATAAAAATTAGGTTTTGTGGTTGAGTTCTATACCTTAAACAGATTAAGGACTTTTGTAGAGATAATTAAGTAAAGAATGAATAAAATAGAATATGTATTTATTTAATTAAATTGTCGCTTGTTACTAATTACAAGAACTTAAACAAAAATAAAGAAATGAAAAATATACAATCGACAAAGAGAAGAGAAGTGATGGTTGAAAAATTACTTAATCTACTCCTAAAATCGCTGATTTAAGCTACCACTAAATAATTTTTCACGATTTGTGAGTGGTTCTGGATTATTATTGATGATCCTTTCTTTGTATTTCTCTTGGCCTATTTATAAGTTCAACCACATGAGATAAAGAAATAATCTAAGTCCACGATTTCCTTAGCAAGTTCATGATTTCCTCAACATCATCCATATCCCATGTTTGATAGTAACCACTTTGCAGATTTGGTGTTTGACTTAGTCTTGGCACATTGATCTCAGCAACTAACTTTCAAATGGCTATAATGGCTAACTTTTTGGCTCTCTATTTAACATGTCATCATGCAACGTCATCTATCATGCTACGTCAGCTATCATGCTACGTCAGCATACTTGTCGATAATAATAATAATAACAAATGTGGCTAGAGTTATTCTTTAAAAATAGTCTATGATTTCAATCGACAAACCATAATTGAATTTGGCCATAATTAATAGGCCACAATCAACAAAAAATAAAATGTGGTGCCAACAATGCCTCCCTCATTTAAATGGATTAAAGAATGAAATCCAATTAAATAATTATAAGGCCATTTACCATAATTGACAAAAAATATTTTATGGTACAAACAATTAGAATTCTTGAAGAATTATTTTATACCCATAGTAATTTTTAATCTATCACTGTCGATTGGCAAACACCCTATCTTTGGCTTTATCAAGTGAAATAGCAGAGAGCCACATTCCTTATTTTTAAAATAAAACAATTATCTGTTTGTCACATTTTGGCCAATTAAAGAGAATTCACTACATATAACACACTTCAACCATTACTGTTTTTCAAACCATGTCATAAAAATTAATTTTTGGTGTGATCCACAAATTCAAAGTGGATGTTGAATTCCAAAGCTCACGTAATTAAATATCATAAAAATTCATTATGTTTGATACTTTGAATAATGTCACAAAATTCACACTCAACAAACGTGGGTTGTTTATAATTTTCAATCATTTTGTGCTTAAAATCATGCCCCCCAAGTTCATAATTTTCAGCCATCTTTGACTTAAAATCATGCCCTCCAAGTGAATTTTCACCATCATTTTGTGATGAATTTTTAACATTTTTTGAGAGAATGTATTGTTCTTCTTTTTTAGCCATTAATGGCTTGTCACTTTTTGTCACGTTTGGCAAACATCATGCCTCCTATATTCACAAGTTTTTGCCTTTTTTGACTTAAAATCATGCCCCTCCAAGTGAACCTTTATCAGAATTCTCAATATTTTTTTAGAGAAGGGGTTGTTTTTTTTTAATTTTAGCCATTAATGGCATATGAAAATTCTCCAAAGTCATATTATCTTCATGACTTGTGCTAACTCTTCGAGCCACATACCTTGGCTCTTCATGAATGATTAGCTCTTCCAAAATATGTGTATTAACCCTTTGAGCTACATTATTTTCGTATCTTAATTTTCATTGGCCATTATGCCTTCTAATTTTTGCTTCCAATATAGAATTTCTTTATCAATTAAAAAAATTTGGCCTTTAAGTCAATGAAATTTTCCATCTCAATAATTTAAATCTCTTTGCGTCAAATAATACATAGATGATGAAATTATTTGAAATCTTTGCATATAAAGATAATTACTTTATTCTTTTAGGGTTAAAATTTCACTCCCATACCAATAAATTTCATCTTTACAATGCAAATCATTATTTTCATATCATTTGTCATGCCATTATGTTGGTAATAAGCGATAGAACTATCACCATAACATTGACAATTTTTAGAATATGAGGCATTCCATTGATAATCTGTATCCATGGGAACACTGCCAATTGCATCCATGGGTTCACAAGATGTAAACATGTCACTTGAAGGCATAATTTCATACGCATTAATCTGTTTCTTCATTGCCATTACTCCAAGTTAGAGTGGTCCTACTAAATGTGCCAATTTATATTAGCAAAAATTTAGTTTAGGCTCAATTGACAGTGATTGATCAACAACCTTAAACAAATTTTAAATAAACACAAATAAAAATCAGGCTTTGTGGTTGAGTTTTATGTCTTAAACAGATTAAACACTTCTTTAAAGGTAATTAAGTAAAGAAGAATTGAATAGAATATGTATTTATTCAATTAAATTATCACTTGTTACTAGTTACAAGAACTTAAATAAAAACAAAAAAATGAAAAATATAGCAATCGACAGAGAAGAGAAGTGGGGGTTGGAAAATTACTTAATCTACTTCTAAAATCGCTAATTTAAACTACTCCTAAATAGTTTTTTACGATTTGTGAGTGGTTCTGGATGATGCCTTTCCTTTCTACACTCAGCTCTCTTTTATACTTGGCATTTGGCTTCAGCTCTGATCCTCATTGATTCTCTATCTTCCTACATATTTATCCTAACATTCTAGGAACTACTTCCTTGAGCTTTTGATCTCTTCCTTGATTCTCTGTCACTATCTTCCTTATCATTCTAAAAGAGTCTTTTAACTCATCCTTAACACATCCTTATGCCATGTCAACCACATTAACCAATCTTGCACATCAACGACCTGTCGACAGAAAATTTCCAAATTTTAGCACCAACACCATCTTTTGTATGTTAGTCACAAAATGTGGTTACTTGTAACATGACTCTTATTTTAATAAGGAATGAAGGTTGCGAAGGCATGTAAAAAACAAAACAAAAAATTATTTATTAACAAGAGTATTTCATCAAAATAATTTCTTCCTCACTAAACGGCCCGGCCTGGCCTTGCTCACTCGGCTCAGGCTGATCAACAATTGAATTTATTGGGCTCCTGCCAAAAATTGGGTCCATCTACTCATGCAAAATCTCAGCCTAGGCCCAGGCCCATGGGGTACTCAGGGCTTGGGAGGGTTAGTGGTCCTAGGTCTGGCCTAACCATTTAAAAAAAAAAATTTCCACTAAAATAGCTTGAAAATAACGTTGGATGTTGAGCGGACCTTAGGCCGGGCTTCTGGTTGGATTGGGCTAGAAAATACATGACCCAAGCCCAGGCCTGGGGGTTTGGGCTAAGCTCAGGCCTGGGCCGCGGGGGGCTTTCTGTCAGCAAACCATTTTTACACCCCTAACTATATAAGCAGCTGGAACAGGTAAACTTGCAATAAGTGGCAAGGTGTACGAATAGAAACTCATGAAGTTTACATACTACAATTTCCACTCTGTTTGGTTTCAAGTTTTTAGAAATAATTTTTTGGGTTTTCAATTCGCATTTTTATGTTTTTAATGATTTTTAAAAATGTTTTAATCAATTTTTTTATTACTTTTTAGATTCACTTTATCTTGATATATTTAAAAAGTACAAAATTTTGGATGCTTAGTCTAACAATCAAATTTTGAATTTGCTTTGTCGAACAATTCACGTGCTAACTTATTTAGTCCATAAAAACATTCTTTTACGAAATGACTAAACTATCCATTTTATTTTATCTGTTTAAATTGTGACACATGTATATGTTCAATTGGTTTAGAGAGAGAAACTTTTCTCTGTTCCTATTTGCTTCACTAGAACTTCTCTCTCTCTCTCTCTCTCTCTCTCTCTCCTCATCTTTCTCTATTTGTCTTTGGTTCTCCTTGGCCGTCTTTATCTCTCTTTCTCTCTCACTCGATGCCGCCAGACCTGCGGCTAACGCCGTCATCTCCTACCACCACTACCAAAACCATCACCTCAGAAAACAAAGGCAAGCTCAATAGAATGATCCATAGATCCAGAAGCGGGGCAAATAAAGTTTGGACTAAGAGCCAAGCTAGACTAGCGTTGATGATGATGACTCCGATTTTCTTCAGTTGTGACGACGGTGATGGTTCGAACAGTGGCAAGTTGACTGAGATTTGTGAAGATGCTCTCGGATCCTCCTCTTTGCACTCAAACACTGGACCAATTAGGGTTTTAGCATTAACTTTAATGGAATAGAGGCTGAAGAAGTTGGAAATTTTGGTATAAGCTTATTTTGGGCCAAATTTGAGTCCAAATTTAAGTAGTGCCCACACATCTTTTGGGGTGGGTCTAAGTGGTGACGTGTTCTTTGTCGCATGGTAAGTCACACAGTGAAAACGGTTCGTCAAAACCATTTATGGGTGTATGGGAAGTTGATGTCGTTTTTGATTTCATGAAATAGGAAGTTGAAGAAACAAATGTGGGTTACCGTGTTTTGGTTGTCCCACATAGAAATAATAAAAAAGCTTGTATGAGCATATAAGCTCTAAGTTGACATACTTGAGATAGGCCCCCAGGGGCACCCTAAGTTTTGTAAGGAGAGAAGTTATGGACAAAGTGGGTTTGAT